TTCACCTGAGTTGAAGGGATAAATCCGTCTAAGATTTGAGAAATACACTAACACCTATGAAACATGAGTCAAGTTAGGCTTCTAACCACCTCCATTAAAGCACCAAGTAGGTGGGTCGGTGGCACAGCGGTTATGACTCTCGTAGACCATACAAATGGTTCGGGGTTCGATCCCCTACCGAAGCACACCTGATATCTATGGTCGGTCTATTAAATTTGGACTACCGATATCACATGCTGAAAATTCCATACTTGTACCAAAAACAAAACGGTGTGGAATCAAGCTGTAATCAGAAAAATTAATAAATAATTCAAATGACAACACGGAAACAGTACTGACTCAACAAAATTTATTTCCCTTAATGAATGTGAATAAAGCAAGAACAACAGTTTTTGCACAGTAAAATGGTACCATCATTGCTTATTTCGTTGGCTTCGCATCAGCTGCTTACGAGCCAAAGTCATTATTAAGTATATCTATAGAAACACTTTTAACATGCTTGCAAAAAGTTCATTTTAAACAAAAATCGATCAATCAATATATGCATACAATAATAATATATATAATAATAATAATAAACACTTTATTCCAAACAATAATGATCATGCACAATGGAGACTTTCCACATTATGCAGTCAGATGAAAGAGAGTATGAAAATATCCAGTTACCACCAGGTTGACAATGAAATACTGACAACCGCTTCTTTCTGAGCGCTAAAATCGGGTTTCAGGCGCTTGATAGAGATCGCTCCAGCAGACTTAAGAAGAATTGAACTCTTTTACTTATTAATAATTCTGAACGATCTTGCAATGTCCATCTCATGACTCGTGTTAAGGAGATGCCTGACGATAGCACTGCTGAAAGCATTTGTTCCCTTTAGACATACGCTCAGTGTAAGTATATTTCATTTCATTTTACTTCCCTTCATCTCATTTCTAGGCGAGTATAGAAATTAAAAAAAAATCACAATGATTTTATGCAAATGAAGTGTCACCTTAAATGTTAGGTTGTACTTTATACGTGTAAAAGCTGTACACCCTTAATAGCGAATGTCTTTATATCGCACACAATATAAAATTCACTAGTCTTGAGAAACGAGTGATGTATCTCATTCTTCTTCTATTATTTCACCGGTTCGTTAAATTCTTCAAGGATTCTCATACACCTCCGCCATAGCTGCATTTCATTGACTGACAAACAAATCAAGTAGAATCTTGCCGAGAAGTAAATCAGTTCACTATGTCATACTTTTATTGTTTCATTTTATTCCTTTATGTTCCCAATGGAACATAGGACTGTTTCAAGCTGGAGACATGAAGTTTCTGTAGCAGTGGTGATTATTTTTACAGGATGGGATTGCTAGGCCTCATTTCCAACCTTCCCTCTTCAGCAGTCTTACTACTGGCTTAGAGAGGTAAAGGAATGCGTTGGTGGCCGGGTATCGAACCCCGGACCACGTGAGGTGTGGTCGATGAGCACTCTACTGCTGTGCCACAGATGCACAGAACAGAAATGCAACTAAATAAAAGTGGTCAGTTATGCGGCGGATACATTTTTTTACTTAGAATAACAGATTAGGTATGGGGTGTCAAAATTAATAGTCGCATTTGTGTGACAAACGTCACTCTAGGCTGAAATCGGTTACAAAATATTGTAAACCGGGAGACAATGGCGGTGACTAGTCTTCATAATAGATTTGTAGAGTGTAGGGTAGGAAAATTGCTCATTCAGTTAGTTCAAGGTTATGAAAAGTGTCAGGTGAGTGAATGGCTAGTACAAAGTTGTATGTATTAAATAAGAGATAGTAAGACTGCAATGAGTGAAATGGAACAAGTGAAGGCACATATTGAGTCCGGATAGTATAAATGGAAAATTCGATAGTATTTAGAGAATGTTTGCATGAAGGATATAAATTATGACGAATAATAATAATAACTGTAATAATATGCAAAGGCGAAGACAAAATCCCAAGAGGGTTAAGAGGAAGAGGCGCTCTTGGTGAGAAGAAGAATTATTAATCCAAGTTTGACCACAGTAGGAACAGCGTCTTGACGTGTTCTGTTTTTGGATGCAAAGTTCTGGTTTAGTCGATCTTACTGCAACAGCTTCAGCTATGTGTAGGAGACGTAGGCGAACTGTACGTGATAACTCTTTCAGAATTCGGTATATAACCCTGAAAGCTATGTTGACGTCAATGAGGAGTGAGGATATAGGCCGACACCAGGTGTTATCGCGCAATGCCATCGGTTACCGCGCTCACGTCAACAGACGTTATAATCACCTATTTTTTTGGAAATAGATTATATTTGACTAGTTTTAGACTTATGTAGCCGGATGGCAGTATTTTGCTGTATTTTGTTCTTAGTAGAGCGTAAAATTGTATATTATAGCTCGGACGAATTATCAATGAAGAAGTCATCCTTTTTAAGAAAGTTCGCATAGAAAGACTATTATTTGCATTATAGTGCGTTGAGGGTTTGTTTTTTTTCGAGTTGTTTCAGATCTTAAGGTTGTAAATATACTGCAGTCAATGGCTGTTGTCATTCCAGTGAATCTATTAGAATCTGGCCTATGAAAGATAAATAGCATGCAGACATAGGTTAGATGTGTGCTTTGAACATGTTAAACTTTTCTGTTATCATCCGGGATGACTGAAATATTCCATAACACATTGACGACATTATGCGATGAATGAGACAGGCTGCTGAATTTCCTGGTTATTATATCTATTTTGATGAAGTTCCTAGTTAAAAGTGCTTGGGCGAAGATGTGAAAATAGTTTAATTGACATTTGCACATGGAATTTCACAAGGCCTTAATTGCTCAGTGCATGAAATGGCATCAGAGTATATTGACATCAGTGTTCATTGTGTCTGGAAGAATAGTATAAATAGTCCTTCTCAAATGTCAGAGTACTTAAAATTAGTACCAGATTTATGTCGATTAGTAGCTGGCGGCTGTGTCGTACAACTACTACACCTGTTACATAGGTTATATCAATCTTAAAAATTATTTTGCTTCACATCACTAAGATATTGTGAGATCCTTAATGACTTAATTGTGGCTATGAAAGATGTAGAAGATGCACTTATGGCTCATATATTTAACGCAGTTATTATTAGACAAGTTATCTGTAAGCAACTTGTGATGTTCTGAATACTGCAAACTGTTGATAAGAAACTGCATTAAAGGAAAAAATGCTGAACAGCTAGAAAATACTACTGCAGTTTCGTTGGTTGTTACCTTTAGCATTTGTAACTCATTATTCCAAAGCTGCGATTGACGCCAAACCATCCATGGTACCCCACAGGCCCTATTGAAATTTGTGAGACATCTTACATGTCAGGTTGTCTTCCATATTATAAGGTTGCAGATCTTTCAATTTACCTCTCACTGAAGTATCACTTATCTACTTCACTATGGTCTTTTCATTTGTGCACTATTACACTGCATTTTATGTTAACTGGATATGCCTTTATGCTTACAGTCTATTTGCTTTTATTAGAAACACAACAACAGCAGTGTTGGAACAAAGCTGTATTTTCATAGAAAACATCATATTTTCTATCCTTACACCAATATGGTTGGCATTAAACATTGCAAATGTATACTCACATTCCAACGACATAGCACTTAGCCAAATGTACGGTGTTCATTGTTAAGGGTTTACAATTTAACTCTTATAATTCATGATACTTCACGATTGCAGTTTATAACATAACTTATTGCGCCTGTAGAAATGACATGCATTCATTGTAAACATTGGTTTAAACGAAATTTGAAATTATTACTATATGCTTGCTGCTATCCTTTAGAAGAGGAATAATGTGTGTGGCAGTGAAAACCCCAGAATAATGATGTCATTACCAAAGAATGAGAAAGGAGAATAAACCATTTTCAGCAAAGGTAGGCAGATATAAATCGTTTACCTTTAATATTACTTCTTCCTTACTTCAGCTATTTAAAAAACACTTTGTTTACTTATTTGTAGATATCTGGTAACGTCAATCACCCCAGTCACAGAGATTCGACATTGCACAAATTATTCCGACAATCGACTGCGTAAACACATTTGCTTGTTATTATTTTTTCATTAAATACATTTAATATCCTGCTTACCAGACCTTTCTTATTATATCTGAGTTTAGATGTATTTGTCATGATGACTAGGTGCAGACATGACTTATTAATAAGAACTGACGAAGTAATTGGTGGCATATTTTAGTGTAAGCTAAATCTAAATACGATTGTTAAAGCTCAACGAATTCAATAATTCGTCTGGTGTAGAGTTGAATTTACGCTACATGTCAACAGCCTTAGTCATATGGATTGACATCACGCTTTAAGTGAAACATTAGTAATGCAATACTTTCGAATACACGTAACCGTATAAGAACTGGGACTCGAATGCAGTGCCTAAGGTATGCCTACTATTGTCCCTAAAGACTTGTATATGACTATGATACTTATGCACGTTAGCTAACTGAAATACTTATAATTTAACACGTATGCTGACCGACATCGTTCCTACACAATTACACTTACGTATTGTTAGTAGTGAAAGTCCTAGAGAGCACCGGTCTAGCATGCCGTGCTCACAAAGTGAACACATGAATTGAAAGACAACAAAATTTACATGAAAATTTTATTTTCATTATGACAAAAATTTAGTTTATTTACATATTAAGAACACGATTGATTCCTGCGATTACTCCGTCTGCATAAGCATTGGCAAACACTTCTCCAAATTTGTCATTAATTCTGTCCATACCCGCATTGATAATCTTCTTTTTGGTATCGTATATGTTACTTCGATTTCGAGGGATAACTGCTGACGTACTTTGAGATGCGAACAAGTTGCGTGACCACGTCCATTGTTTACAATTATGCATCACATGGTTAACTACAAAAGGTGGAACAAAAAAAGTTAAGATAACTATGAACTGATTATTACATTACATTATACATTAAAAACGTAGTCATAAAAACGCAAATATACCTGTGAAATACGGCTTTCTTAAGTGGACCAAAAGCAAGTGTCGGCAGGGGTACCGACAGGTCTGAAATGTAAAGCACGTGCAGGTGCAAGCACTCAGATCAACCTGCACTGTATTCCCATTTTCTTTGAAAAATACATAATCAACGGATTCGAACTCAACAGTAGCCCATCGTCGCAATTGGTATTCACGTATTACCTTCCTCGCGGCGTATGGTGTAAGCAACCGTATAATTGGGATTAAACTTTGTGAACAGGGATACGTGAAGCATCGTGATTGAGCAATATTCGCCTCCTGCTGTATTATTGAAAAACTTCGTTTATGCCATTTATACACCTTTAGCATACTTTTATGCAGACTATCAGATCTTTGCAAAAACCGTTTCATCTGCTTGTGGGAACTCTCGACACGATTATTTGTATCGTTCCCAAAAGTCAGCACGTTATCTCTGAAACAGGCCGCCCACAATTCTCGTCGATGCATCCAACGACGTTGTAGGTATTGACTGACATTAGCATCCAATCTGCTAATAACTCTGAAGTAGAAATTAAATCTGCAAAATGAGAACAATAGAGGCATTACTCTGATCTCCTTTTACACTGCACTAGACGGCATAAGTAGTTCTTCACAATGGGATTTCTTGTCTACGAATAAAATGTAAAGTATGCTTTGAAAAACTTACTTTCCGACAGAAAGCTCGGCAAACATGAAAAGAACACAAAACAATGTGCGCTTGTCTGTGCGTTAACTTGACGGCTGCTATTTCAGCTTGCGCACAATCCATAATGAAGGATTCTGTTTTCGAGGTGTCTTCCATTATTTGCCGGAAACAGTCTAATATCCAAACTACATCTCGTTTGAATTCTTTTCTAGTCCACGCAAATAAAACTGGTCGTCCACGACCAAAATTATCCGTCACAAGTAGCTGGAACAAAGAATACCTGCACGTTGACTAATGAATTGGTAAACTTACTTCCCCTTATTCGTATTATACGTCGAGTCGATACCAACAACTTCAGGGAACTGTTTATACAATTCCATTTGCTCATAAGTTGCAAAACAAATTCTTGTTAGTGAATTCCTGATCGGTTCATCGGAATAATACTCCATTAACTTCCCACGGGATTTTAGGAATTCAAAAATGTCACGACGACTCGAAATACCTTAAGTATGTAACAAGTACGTCAACGTTACCTTTATTCACTGCGGCTTTCATATTTTTAACGTCAATGCGAGTTATATCCTTGTTGTACTTCTCCTTAACATGCATTATTATTTCATCGGATGAGTGGGATTGCTGAAGAAGTGGTTCAATATTTTCTTTCTCTTCAACTGTTAGTCGTCTATACCATGGGTCATTCTGCATGTACACCCTGCTGCATGGATGGTTATGCACCATATTGTGGGAAGCAATTATGTATTCACTATAATGCAAAACCACGCGAAATGAAGACGAGCAATTGCAACATTTAGACCTGCAATATTCATGAAATCATATTACACTTCTTCTTACGACTTGTTTTTCAATTTCAATCCAGGTCTTGTACGATTCACTCCAAAAGTGCATTTAAAACCAACATAAGCGTACTTAAACCTGGCATCCGGTATCGTTTTGCTGCAATTATGAACATAGTGAGTGTAGGATAACTACACTGTTAGCATTAAATGACTTCCTCACTTTTTGAAATTCTGCTAATGACTTCTCAAATTCATCCCAGCTGAAGAAACGCTTTCCAAGTATGTATTCAGCAAAAATTCCACTTAAATCTGTGCTCCTGTCACTCGAATTGACTACCTGCAACGGACTAAAATAAAGTTATCAATTAGGATCCATCTATGTCACAACTATTCCAACATAAATCGTAAAAAAACAACATTGAAATACAGGGATGATCGATAACCATCAAGAAAATACCGCACGTATAACCTAAATTACAGAAAAACACAAGAACCCACCGGTTCGTTGACATCGCAAGCAACCAATAGACCAAACAACGAATTGTACGACAAATAATGCCTAGTACATGCACAAACAAAGAAAAACAAAGCGTTACAATAGTTTAATACACGTTTACAGTAATCACATATGCTGGCAAACGACGCAAACACAACCACGCAAATACAGCACCCGACAGCACGCACCCAAGGACAATTCAAACTCCAATTGACCGCCACCATTCTAGCCAATGAAAGACGAAAAAAAATTAGTCGCGGAAAATATAACACGAGACAACGTATATACCCACCCGTCAATGAGATGTCCAGTATCATCTAATCTGCTATTCTACTTATAAAATGTATTCACCGCATAGCTGGCCATTGTTGTAACGACAACAAATATTATATTTTATAATTGTAAGAACCTGAAGAGGAGAAATTATTGAAAAGAATACTCTTCGTTCAGATTGACTTTTAATTCATGTCATATGGGAATATTTCACACCATCAAATCACAATAGATATAAATGGGTGTGATGAAGGAAATACTGTGACATAGTGATTGCTGGGGAAAAAAGAATGGGATGTAAACGGCGAAGGGAATTTTCTTTTCGACGATTCATTTTCATAACCTGCTGTGCAATAATCATAATTATATATTTAACAAAGATATCATAAGACAACCAATCAGATACTGGTAAAATTTGTCCCTGAAAACGTATTATGTAATGTAAGGTGTAACCTATATGGGGTGACTAAGTGAATTCGGAAAAAAGGGAGAAATGGGTATGACGTAATAAGCGTGAGAAAATGACTAATCAGTATGATTGCGTGGAATGGACAGGAACTAGTGGAAAGACGATAAAGTGTTTTTATACCATTCGTATGAAAACTCAGTGTTATTAATAAACAGTAATAGAGTGATGCGTCGGTGGTATAGTGATTAGGACGCTCGTCGATCATCCACATGGTCCGGGATTCGGTCTCCGGCTGCCAACGCACTCCTTTACCTCGCTAAGCCAGAAATAATGCTGGTAAAGAGGAAAGGTTGGGTATGAGACTGGCTATCAACCCCATCCTGTAGAAATAAACACTGCTACAGAAACTTCAAGCCACTAGCTTGAAGCCCTATTTTCCACTGGGGAACGTGAAAGAAAAAAAAACGTATTTAGGGTGTATCCTAAAGTTTGTGGAAGCCCTGGCTGGCAATTAGAAAGTTTAAATCACCTTTATGCGTTCAAAAACAATTCGTCATCACATTAAACCTTTTTTGGTAAATTTTGTTTTGACGCCATAGCAGATGTACTATTACCTCTGCTATTTGGTTAAGTGGTCTTCATTGTTACTCTGACCTTGAATATATCCTTTTAACTTGACCTAAGTCTATTTTCACACCTTTGACCTAATTCCCTCACCGGATATAATTTCTTTAAAAAAACCATATATATATATATATACAATTGTACAGCTTGATAATAAATTCGCTGAAAAGAGTCTCTTCGCTGGAAATATTGTGTTCCTAAATAAGAAAAATATGCAAACGGCGAAGAGAATTTTCTTTTCGACGATTCATTTTCATAACCTGCTGTGCAATAATCATAATTATATATTTAACAAGGAAATCATAAGACAACCAATCAGATACTGGTAAAAATTGTCCCTGAAAACGTATTATGTAATGTAAGGTGTAACCTATATGGGGTGACTAATTGAAGTTAGAAAAGAGGTCAGAAATTGGTATAACATAATAAGTGTGAGAAAATGACTAATCAATATGATTGTGCGGAATGGACAGGAACTAGTGGAAAGACGATAAAGTGTTTTCATATAAAATCTGTATGACAGCGCAATGTTATTAATCAACAGTAATAGAGTGATAATAAAACATGGATGATGAGAATAATTTATTATTATTATTGCTCCCTTGGGTTCCTAGTGGAACATAGGGCTTCAACTGCACGTCTCCATTTTCTTCTGTCTTCTGCTATACTTTTCGCCTGCATCCATGTTAATCCATCTTCTTTCAACTCCTCTTCACACGATCTCCTCCATGTCACTCTTACACTGACGTCCCGCTCGCCACGTGCTTCCCTTTCGGGTTCCACTCGAGGGCTTGACGCGCGATGTCACCCAGCGGTCTCCTCAGCGAGTGTCCGATCCATCTCCACTTTCTCCTGCATATTCGTTGATTGGCGATTGGTTCTTGCTTTGTTTGTTCCCATAATTCCTTGTTGGTGATTCTTTCCGGCCCGGCCATCTGATCTTCAGTATAGATCCAGCGAAGACAGTTGTTGATAAATGTCTGCAACAGGCTGTTGGAAATATTCTTTGTGACCCGCCCGCCAAGTTTCTGATCCGTATAGAAGAACTGACTTTACGTTTGTATTGAAAATCCTACCGAATTTTGTTGTTGATGCTGGCTGAGTGACAGTGGAATATTTCCAGATTGATTTCAGGTTGATGAATGTGTTTCTCGCCTGCCTTCCCGATTCTCGCTCGATTTGACATCCTCGTCCGCTCCGACTGCCTGTAGTTGAGACAATGCTCCCTAGATAAGTGAATGAAGTCACCTCTTTCAAATCCCTCCCGTTGATGGTGATTGACGTTGGATGTTGCTACTGTTGTTGGTTGGTTATTTTCATAACCTCCGTCTTGTCTATGTTTACCTGGAGTCCTGTCTTTGCGGCTTCTTCGACCAGTTTGTCGGTTTTCGCTTGTAAGTCTTCGATTGTGTGTGACATCAAACATAAATCATGCACGTGCGAAATCCAGGTCTTCTAGGTTCTTCACGTCGGTCCAGGATATTCCTGTCTTCTCACTCGTTCCCCACTGTCTGACGCATAATCCAGTCAGTCGACCACAATTAGGAATATCATTGGTGATAATAAGCACCCTTGTCTGACTCCTGTGAGAATAATAATGATATTAAAATAATAATATTTAGAACAACACATTTAAGCGAACAATATTGTGCTTTCAGTTAGACCTCATCAGGCTTAACTAGAGTTAATATATATAAGTTTACAAATAAAAATTCAAATATAAACCAATCATGGTGTTTTATCTATAGGATAATATGATGGTGAATATAAATTGTGCAATAAGTGATAATAGTAGTAATGATAATATTAATAATAGTAATAATAATAATAATGGTCTTATCAATAATAAGGATGAAAAAATGAGGCAATCTATGATAACACGAATAATGAAAAATAGTATGATTAAACGAACAAACAATTATTCAGGTGGAAGTAGTCGATAAAGGCTAGTAAAAACAAATGAACCGATTACGTAATGTTAGATTGTAAGGGAAGGAAATGAAGCACGTTTATAATGAAGATGTGATAAGAATAATGGATGATAAGAAAGGGGTTGAAGATATAAACAAGGGATGGTGTAAAAGTCTTTAGTTGGTTATGTCTTAATAAGCCAACAAGTGAGGGATAATGGCTGTACGAACTTCTTTTGAATGCATAGTTTAGGGGTTTAATAGTTCGAATGCCTGTCGCCTGCCTCAGCTTTGTGCAGTAGACGAATACGACGTCTATTAGAGAGATTCGGTGGGATACGATGAATTACTTTGAAGGCTTTCGTTTTATCGACTATATGACCACTATCAATTAGATGTGACAGTAATTCATGATTGGTTTATATTTGAATTTTTATTTGTAAACTTATATATATTAGAGTTAAGCCTGATGAGATCTAATTGAAACCACAATATTGTTCGCTTAAATGTGTTGTTACAAATTTTACTATGGGAATATTTAATATATTGAAAATAATAATAGTGAAATTACATAATAAAAAAGAAACAAAGTCGTAATAGGAGCGTTACTTTGGCCACGGTAGGGCGAGTGAATATATGTGGTGCTTTTGAATGCAGAGATCCGGTTTCAGATCGCAAATAGCCGATGATTCAGCTACATATAGGTGGCATATTCAAATTCCCTTTGTACGATATTGAGGAACTGTGTGTAGCACTGTGAAGCATTCATGCGTGTGAGGGAGGTGTTTAGCTAATCCCCTCTGAACCACCTAATCACAATACTGATATTGATTTCTATATTTCAACTTACCGATTTTTCTCCTAGATTGTATGTTTATCACTGTTCTGACAACTGCATACCATATATTCACACTAGCCTTATTCATGTTTGCCTTTGTCCTTTCCTGTTTAATCTTGAATGTTAATACCTTTCTGTGTGGTACTCCAATACACTGTGCATCGGTAGCACAGTGGTTAGGATTCTCACCGACCATGCAAATGGTCCGTGGTCCGACTTCCAGACGACGCACACCTAATATCAATGAACGGCCTAGAAAATTTGGCCTACCAATATCACATGTTGAAAATTCCATTTTGTAATGCCTTCACGTTCCCAGTGGAACATAGGGCTGCCTCAAGCTAGAGGCTTGAAGTTCCTGTAGCACTGGTGTTTATCTATACAGGATGCGGTTGCTAGCCTCATGCTCAACTTTTCCTCCTTACCAGCTTTATTACTGGCTTAGTGAGCAAGGTAAAGGAGTTCGTCGGTGGCCGGGGATCGAAACCCGGACCATGTGCATGGTCAGCGAGCCTCCTGGCTGCTGTGCCACCGGCGCAAAAATTCCCTACTTGTACTAATCAAAATTTAAAAAAAATTATGTGTTGTTTTGCGTGGATGGGATTTTTCATGAGTGGATAAAGGTGATTTTGATCTTGGACAATGTGGCGGAATTGTTTATGTGTGGTTCCTGTGACCAAAACTTTTTATTCCATCTTGTTGGAAATATTCCACATAGTTTTGCGCTAAGAACGTTTTCTTGACTGTATAGCCACGCAACGGCACTGTTGAGGTAGTTTTGAAGTTTTGATGTTATAATTATTGTTGAATAGAACCACATAGATCTATGAATGAATAACCGTCTTTTTAGTGTCTTAAGAGCATTCATGATTGTGCTTACCTAAAGTAAGTTTTGGACAGTTAGCTGTACAGTAGGACGCAGAGATAAATTTCATGATGTTAGACCACAGCGAGTCGGTTTTGGTCGTTATAAACACTTTAATGAAGAATGTGATAACGATTTTTAGAATAGAGTTTAAACACTTTTCAGCTGTTTGATTGAATTTTAGATTTTCCGTCGATTGATTGGACCAAAGTGCTCAGTCTCAGGTCGACATGTTGACTTCTTGTGCAAATGCTTCGACATTGTCTGGGCATGTAATCAGAAGTTAATTGGTGAAATCTAGGTCGCGTATTTCGTCGCATTTGGGACTCGTCATCTAGGTGTACCTGGATTCCCTAGTGATTTATCAAAATAAAATCTTGTCCATAATGGAGTTATAC